GATGCTGTCTCAAAACTGTTGTGTGGATGTGGGTTGGTGGGGCCTGGCTTCTCTCCAACAACTCCAAGAGTGCATTGGGATTTCAGGTTTTGACAGCTTGACACCCTGAGTTGGCAGAGACCAGTTTTTCAAGCTAATACTTCCCTGACAACCATCACCCAGCCCCTTCAAGGCCACGAGTCTTATGGGCTGGCCCCCTTTCCCATCCTAGTGATGATTTTGCAGCACTCTGCCACAAAGTCCCCAATCAGGCCACATAATAGAGAGTCAAACTCTATTTAAACATGTTTAAAATAGGGTTGGTCACAACAGTCAGAACAGCACAACAATGCAGAGGAGGGGGAGCATAGCTACTGCTGACCCTGTTAGCTGAGACTCCAGCAAGAGTTTTAGCTTTGTGGTACAAGGGGCCCCCAGATCCCAAGGCTCTTCCCCAGCACCTCCCCTCCACCGGTGAGGTGACATATATGAGGCCCAGCAGATGGCACTCTTCCCTCTTCCAGTCTCTGTGGTCAGAACCAGGCTAAGGGCAGAGGTAGATGGGGAGACATGGGGTGCACAAGGCCCAGGTGGCAGTGTGGGAGCTTGGGACCCTGAGGAGGGCATGCTGACTCCTTGCTGGAGAAAAGGCACCTAAATAGGGAAGCTGGGCTTGTGGGCCTCCCAGGGAGCCATGGGGTGAGATGAGATGGTCTGAAGGAAGCAGTATGGTGAAAACTCCAATTCTGGTCCCCAAACCTCCACCTCCTATGGGAAAAGTTAAGGAATCCTGGAGCAGAGCCCTATGCCTGAAACCTGTCTGAGGGAGCCTCGTCCCTTCCCACCCCGCTCCCCTCACAAGCCCAGATCAACCTCCTTGGACGCCGAGCGCAGGGAGGGAACAGATGTTAGAGGGACCTCAGGCTGTCTTGGTGCCTGAGTCCACCTCCTTGTGGGCCCAGAGCTCCTTGTGCTGTTTACGGCCAAATCCCTCATCGTAGTTGCCTTTGCTCTTAAACAGCTGCTGAAAGTGAGGTTTGCAGTAAAATTCACCGTGCAGTGCAGCATAACTGCCCAAGCTGCGGAAGCAGAGAACAGCTGGGTCAGTCTAAGTCGGGGCTGGAAGGCAGGGTAGGGTGGGCAAGTTAAATGGGCAGGGCAGGGCAGGGCAAAGCGTGGGCGCACCTGAGTTTGGTGTGGCAGTGTTTGCAACAGAAGCAAGAGTTGTGGAAAATGAGCTTGTCTGCCACCAGCCGCTCCATAGGATACACAGTCTTCTGGCAGGCTGTACAGGTCTCCTTCACCTGAGCCCGCAAGCTAAAGGACTGTGGAGTGGGAGTAGGGTACACTCAGCAAGAAGCCTGATGAGCACCCACCCTTCCTCCGCCCACACCTCCCTTGGGACCCTACCTTGGAGCGCTGCACCGCGCTGCTGCCACTGCTGCCTTTGGCTTCCTGGGGAAGAGGAGCAGTCAGAGCGGGGTCAGCTTGCCGGTGGCCCAGCCCAGATCCCAGGGGCACTCAAGAGGTGGCAGAGGGTGTCAAGCAAACAAGCTGCTCCTGTCCCTTTTACCCCTCCCACCTGGCTGGTCACCTACATGAGAGGGGGTGGCCTGGGCGGCCCCGGCTGCCTGGAACATGGCTCTTCGGAGGTGGTTGGCGGCCTGGGTGTAGACGCCGCGCCAGGAGAGTTCTGCAAGGGGAAGTCTGTCAGTGGGGCCCCAAGAGCCCTCCCCCATCCTGCAGGCTGGGGTGTTTTTAGGCAGGGGGTTGAGGGGCTGCGGTTGGGACTTTCCCTAAGTCATTTCCTGTTGCTCTGGGTCTTGCCAGCCCC